TTACTGCGTGTTCCATGAAGGGAACTTTGTCATGAAGTGAAATCAACATGGACAAAAATCATTAAGTGCTCAGATCAGGGCTCTTAATTGCTCTCTACAAGTCAGCAAATCCAGAAATAAAACACACCATAAATCTTAATAAAAATATAAAGAATTTACAACCCATACCAAATTAGAAATTAAAAAAACATTGCGTCCACATCTGCTGATCCTTTAGCAGCCCTGCACAGCAGTCGGTTAATAGCTGCCCTCCCCCCTTTCTTTGATAAGTATTTTAAAAACAAACATCTTAAAAAATACTTCTCATAAAACTCTTCTGGAACAGCCTGGCATAGTTTCAAGGTATCCGAGAGGCTCTGCTGGTGCTGAAGTTCAAGAAACATGACTCTGCACCTAGCCCAGGCACCTCCCCATGCTTTCTCCTTCCCTGAAATGGCAGGCAGCAGGAGAAAAGCCGGCCCGGCCGGCGGCAGGAAATAGCGTGAGAATGGGCTCCCTCATGCTACTTCCAGTCCTTCCTGATATCGGAGGGTGTGAAATGGGCTGCAAAGTCTGTCTCTCACATTATTTCCTTTTCCATCCCAGTCAAAACCAGGAAGCGCCAGCTAGGAGATACGCAGAGAAAGCATAGCATGAAACAAAGCACAGAATCACACTGGTGGCCAAGAAGCCTAACTAAGCCAAGGCTAACTAAAGTAAAAATTCAAGAATCTGAGCATAGCCTAATATTAGCAAGTCTAGAAAAAGCACTAGGAGGCTTGTGTACCCATGCTTTGGTTTTGCTTTGCTACATAGCTAATCTACCAGCTACTGACATCAAACCAATTTTCTTCGGGACATCCACAGGCTTTGGCTCAGACCTTACAGGACGGTGGTGGCATCCTGCGTGCCCTCTTGCCAAACAGCACGTTTCTATGGGAGAGATCCTTACTCTGACTACACTGCTCTGTATTTGTGAGGCTTTAGGAACAGAGCCCTTCAAATGAAAACCGAGGTAGAAGTATTAACAACAGCACTTCAAAGAGATCATGTTTGTTTGTATTTGACAGAAGGCATGTATTTCACAAACAGGTCTTGGCACATTACAGTGGAAATGGCTCCTATATTCTTACTGTTAAGTAATACATTCTAAATAAAATGCAATCCTGTGCCTTCGGGGAATAAATATGAAGGACGGTAAATAATTTATTTATCACTTTTTGGGGTTTTCTATATTCTAGACATTTCTGCGTTCTTCTGTTTATCACTAGCCCAGAGCGGTATCACATGGCAGCTTCAGTACAAACATACATTCTCTTCTGTATACATCTCCACAAGATGCAAGCACAATGAAATCTGGTCTCCTCATAGATAATGCTCACTCCTCACAGCTAAAATACAATCCTCTCAGAGAGAAACTGGTGCCAACCTCAGACCATGTTGTTCTAAAAGCAGAATTGAAACTAATTACTTAGTGCAGATGAGAAAAGGGAAACAGCCTCCTTTCCTTTCTCTGCCTCTCAAGACTGTAAAATATGCCTCGGCAGGAAGTACAGTAAAGCTCATGATGAGCAGAGGCAGCTACTCTTTCAAAATGAAGAGGGTTCCTCTGAAGTGACATTTTCATTTAGCTGGTGAGCTCAAGGATAAAGGGGGGATACCAGAGGGGCTCTCCAGCAGATGAGGTTACCCGCCGGACCTCCCAGCTTTGCACCTCCAAAGATCCTAAGTGCAGTTAAATGGAAAGACAGGATGGTAGCTACAGCTTTTGGTGAAGTCGTCTTTCCTGAGCCAATGCAACCAGGAACTTGGTGGAGCAATGATAATAATGCATATTAATGTTAACCTCTTAAGGGAAGACACTGAAAAATTGCAGCGAATCAGAAAAATACTGTTTCCAGATGCCAAACACATTCAAGTTAGGTAGACACCACACATTACGTCAAGAATTGTATTCGTTCCCACTTTCCTGAGAAAGGCCAAGTAACAAAAAGTGGCTATTTCCCTTCTTTCCTCATCACAAATTCCAACTCCCCAACATCTTTCCTTTCAAGATGCTCCAGCATTCTGCAGCTACACCATACAGCACTTAACTCTGACCTTCTGTAGCTAAGCTGCCTGAATAGAGAACCAGGTTTTGCCCACAAAAAGCAGAATTCTGAAAGTGGCCATGTTGAAACTGAAGGGAACTAGGTAAGTCCTCATGGCCTCCCCAGTACCTCACTGCCACCATCACACCACTAACAAAAGATGGAAATAAGAGGAGGGAAAGGACTTGTGCTGGTTCCCAGAAGACAGCGGGCGGGATGCCAGGTGCTGCCACACAAGCAGACCACAAGCCCTGCAATGTGCCCACTCCCTGAGGACAGGCGATGCAGACCAGCCTCTTAAATGCTTCAAGATCCCTGAAGAAGCTCTGCATACTTTTCATGGACATTTGGCAGAAAGATAAATTAATTTCATTTTCATATTAATATTTCTGAAAGCCAAAGCCCTGTAAGATACACACTCCTCACTGTTCCTTGTTAAAAAACAGACAAAATTGATTTTTAAACATTCGGCAGAATCTCCTTGCAAAGTTTCCTATATATAACCGTGTCACTTCCAAGAATGAAAAAAACTGCTTTTTAAAAAATGCAGAATGTTAAATGAGCCCATACCAAGACAAACTTTACACTAAGCAATTCACACTTCAAAAAATGACAGTTTTGAAAAAATAAAAGATTTTACAAACAACTATTAAAAGTTAATTTTTGTGAAGAAGAAACATTGCTTAGAATTTTTAAGTAATTCACTGAACAAAGAATCCATTAATATTTAAGAATTTATTCAAATTTTAAGAGCAAGAAGGGATTTTTGGAAGCTGGATTGATCTTCAAAGAGAAAAGCCACTTTTCTGTCTTCCATTTTAAGTATGCCTTTCTTGTTTTAAACAGGGACTTCAAAAGGGGAAAGTGTTCAGAACCCAAGACTCCTCTCTGAGCCTATGAAAAAACTGACAACTCCAACACTATTTGCTCAACTTTCTCTTTTAACTTCTATTACCTCTAATGACAGTAGCTTGCACATTCAAATTAAAACAGTGTTCACCTGATAAATCTCATCTACATTTTATATTTTACCATTGCTACACTTTTTTTAAGAGTATGTTCACCAGGTTAATTTCAAGGTATCAACCATGGGCAGACTTTACAAGAAATAATTTCTGTCAGGTCCCTTGAAAATTTAGTATGATAAAAACAGGTTCAGAATTTCAAAGTGACATTAACCTCCAAGCAAACATTTTGCCATTACTTTGCATATCCTGTTATTACAAACCAATGCCACTGCATGATCAAAAAAGCCAAAAAGCACAAGAACTACCAAAAGTAGCAATTAGAAAGCTGCTTCTGAAAGAAAATAATGTCATATACTTTACTATCAAACAGAATAAATATTAGAATGATGAAATATTTTTAGAAGGAGACAGCAATGGTATCTTAGGAGAAAAAAAAAAAAAATCTGTAATTTGTCAGCAATGTACAAGGTTTATTTTTGGCTCAACAGCCCATGATGTAGAATTAAGCGTTCCACTAGATGGAGCAGGACAGTAAAACCATCATGAAGGCCATCCCCCTTGCTGACCCATAAAAATGTCCAGCAATCGGGGATGATAAGAATTTTTGCTTTCTTGTCCTTTCTTTAGCTTTCAAAAAAAAGGGCAACACAAACCCCCTTAGTACTTAACAATATCTACTTCCCATCACAGAAGTTGACTATTAACAAACACTATCCAGAAACAGCCAAACACTATCAGAAACAAAACTAGTTTTTCCCCATTTCTATCAGATTTTACACTAGAAAGACAAAATTTACTGCAGAGTTGATAGAAAGTGACAATCTTGTAGTATTTTTTGGTTGGCTGCAACTGAACTTGCAAAAAGATCAATGCCAAATGATCAAACGTTAGTCACCTAATGCAAAAGACATTGCTACACATCAAACAAATTCACACAAGAAAAAATGGCAAAACTTCAAAGATGCTCCTAAAGACCTGCAGCTGTGCAAGTCATAGTAAAATTATCTCTCTGGTTTCTTTTCAGAGCTAATTGTTGATTTAAGTCTACCTAAACAAAAAAAAATATCTTACAAATTTTATTTCATCAAATGTTATTAAAGGAGATGCAGCAGTAGACAAACTGTTGTTGTCCATCATGTGAAATGAGAAACCTGCATTTCCTTGACCGTTAAACCTTATTTCAGCTTCTCCAAAAGAAGCAGAGTATAAAACTAACAAAGAACAGTTTTAACCATTAATATTCCAAATGTAAGTCCTTCAGTTCTTAAGTATATGCGACAGAAATACCAGAACAGTCACAGTTATCACAAACATCTTGCCATTAAAAAAATCTGAACCATACTATATTACTAGATGCGAAAAACAACTGAAACATGCAGCAGTCTCATGACAATACTAATTATCACAGTGGTATAAATTGCAGAAAAGAATGAATCATTCTCATGTATGTGCATGAAGGCACACAAACAGAAGTCTTGGTCACTGATCACAGGCTACTGCCCATGATTATTTATCTGAAAAGAAAGAGATGACAGCAACAAACTGCACTAAAAACACAAGCTACAAAGATGGGTATGTTTTGCACCACCGTACTTTCCAACCTACTAAAACTTGCTGCAGTATCTAAAGGTGTCATTTGGAAAGAAACTTGTCTAAGTGGAAGAAGCAGGAAACTTGGTCTTTGAGACAATACAAATGTCCACTACATTAAGGTGTCAGTCTGTATTAAGGCCATTTGCAATCATCTGCAAGGTTTTCAGTGTAAATATTACTGTCTAACTGAATGCCATTTTTTCCTACTTCTCTGAATAGCTGATTACCAAGAATTCACTATGTAGCATACACTTCTTTTCCAAGGTAAGGAAAAGTAAGCGTCAGGACCATCCAGATCACTGTCATTAACGTGCAATAGAAAAATGTGTATACCACAGTCAATATACAGCAGAAGAGAAACAATACTTACTACTGTGCACAATCAATCAGTTGATATTCATTAGATCTCTCGTAGCAGGCTTTCACACCTTCGTCTTGCCAAAGCGTTTTTGTATGTTCATAAAACTCCTGAAAAAGTAGAAGTACTATTAGCAAAATGGATTATATATGAAGAAAATCAGCAAACAGTAATATATTACCCCTGTAATGAGTGGTAAATAATAGCATATTTAACAAATGACTTTAAACATTTTTTAGAATCTCAGTACAGTTTACTTGACTTGCTTTGACTTCAACATTTTGTAACACTTAGAGAATTGCTTCTCAATCATTTTGAGCCCAACTATATATTGAAGGAAGGGTTAATGCTACATTAATGAAATCCTGTTGGCATTTTTAATAATTAATGCTATTTGGTAACACTTGTTCTTATCTCACAATTCACTGCATGCTATATTTGGCTTTAAAGATTTGGGTTTTTTTCTTCAATGAACCACTACTTCTCACTAATGCTAATGTCAAGGTAGCAAATGATGACTAGGTTTTACTTGGCTTTCCAAGTTAACGAGGATGTCTGGGGACTACATAGACAGCTCTAAGTATGTGCAGAATTTATTCTTTTACCATGTAAAGGGATATTGAACTACAGAAGAAATACAGTGATACCAAGCTAGATTATGTTTCGATTGTTTCAACCTTAAAAATGATTAGCCAACATACAAAGCAGACAGCCAAAAATGGAATGCTTCAGTTTTGATACACGTGTTACAGTTTCAACACACACAACAATAAGCTTGTTCTTTTTTGCAGATAAAAGATGCATTTTGGCCCCAACAGGGGCATGTGCAATATGTAATTGTATTTCTGGCTATCAGTCTAAGAACTCTGAATAGACTCAGAACAGCAGATGCCTGCACCACTGTGGGCATTACTTTTATCAATGACCATGGACTTTTCTTGGCTGTCTTTCAGAGCTTTTGAAGTGGTTTGGACTAAATACTTTTCTTCTGATTTTAAGTAGCTCAGGTAACTTATTCCAAATTAGCTTTTTTGCATCCAGGACAGCACATGATCTTTAAAACAGTAGTTGTATGTATTCTATTTCTCCCCCTCCCCTTTTTCTTCACAGTAGAAATATTTTAAAGAAAAAGAAGATATTATTTTAGATAGCTATTTTACTGCTTCAATATTCCTCCATTCACTTAGCTTTGGAATCACTCCTTTTCTTGGGATAACAGTCTCTCCAATTCTTTTACTATCAGCGTGGTAAAAAGAAATGGAACACATCTAAACGCGACTTCCAAGGTTTCACTTCAATATCTTTTAAAAACAAACAAACAAACAAACAAACAAACAAAACAACAAAAAAAACCAACCCAACCCACAACCAAAAAAACACTTTTCTCCCAGAATGTTAACTAACACCTGAACCGTACCAGAAGAGTAGATGCTTTAAATGGCATCTTAAAGATGCGTAATGGCATCTCAAAGTAAATTTAGTGATGCAGATTTTCAAACCATCTTCTTTTTGGCAGGCATAACGTGTATGTGATTGTGTGATTATACAATTGTGAGTACCAATAATGGAAACAGCCTATCAAATGTAAATTTGATATTACTTTTATTGCTACTGAATATTCACTAGCTGCACATACACACAAACATTGGTAAATGCACACTACACATCAAAGAAACTATGGAAATTTTTTTTCTATTTTAAAGATATTATTTGTTCCCTGCTTTTATGAACTGTTCATGAGCAAAAAGCCCAGTTAAATTTCCTTCATAAGCAGATAAGAAGATATTACTTGATGTTTAGTATTTTTAGATTGTATGACCATTTGCTGATAAAGGAAATAAATGAATCTAAGTCCTCAGTTTTCTTTCTCCCACTGCTGGAATTATGTTCATTGGAAGTTTTCATTTTGAAGGTTTCCAATTTTTTGGCAGTTGGGGGACTGTCAATTACCTTCAATCTTCAAATGTATCAGTGAGGAAACTATCTTTCCCAAGCAAAAAGAAGTAGCAAGAGAAAGTAAAGGAGAGTGGGGGTTATCTGGAATCTCATTGTGTTTGAACCAAACCCATTTTACAGTGGCTTTATATATTTATTTTTACAAGTGACAGTAGACTAGTACGGAACATCTTATGACTCACTCAACTTACTACTACAAAGCTGGGAAACTGAAAAATTGAACTGTCAATGGCATGAGATTTTTTTTGTTGAAATAGCAGCTGATTCAAATGGACACACATTGTTTAAATTTCTCATCTAATCAAGATAACTTACACCAGACTTCAGACAGTTAACTGGACCATTTAGCAGAGACAGGACTCTAAAAAAGATAACTACTTCAAACCGGAGACAGCATCTGCCAAGCTAATTATCTCCAAATATACCCCAAAATACTCGCTTCATCCTGTATTACAGTAAGTAAACAAATAACTAGGCAAAGATAAGTTTATAGAAAATGCAATAAAACACAAAGATTCTTCATCACCTACAAATGTACATTTTAAGTGAAGCAGTGCCTTAATGAAAAAACAAGTCACAGCATAGTAAACCTCTGCCATAAAAATGAGACACAGAAGTCCTTCCTCAATACAACTGTGACATTTTGGTAGAAAGCTGGCATAAAGCAATTATTTCAAACAAGTTATGAATGCCTGCATACCTTGTGGAGAAACATTTGGAGTAGTTTCTGCAATCACTCTTAAAATGGGATGTAAAGTAAACCCAGTACCTGGCCCTGGCATAAACACATTGATAATAAAAAGCCGAGGATTTAGTTGAACACAACAGTTACATATTCCTCAGAAGAGTCTTCCCTGTGTTTTAAGGCAGTTCTTAACTTCTAAGAAAATATGTGGATTACAATAATGAGTTAATGATCAAAGTTGCTAGGCCTAATTAGCAATAAAATACTTAATGCTGACTTTCTGTCTGTCCTGATAATCTGAACTATAACCAGCAACACTTACGCAATCTTTTCAATATGGTTATTAACTGTCCATGTGGGATGGAAAAAGAATTTAAGTCCACATTCTTTGAACTTTTTACTGGCATTTCAAAATCGGGATCTACAACAAGTAATGAGTAATAGATTATTATATTAAGACACAGTGGGGTTTTTTGGAGTGTTTTTTTTGTGGTTTTGGGGTCTTTTCTTGTTGTTTTGTTTTTTAAAACTGAATTACATGACTTTTGATAGCCAAATATGAAGGCCTTTTATTAATAAACAACCTTTTGTCTTTAGGCCACGTCAAATGTATCTTCACAGATTCTGGGACTAGTGCTGGTTCAATTTACACATCTGTAAACTAGGAAGGCGTTCACCAAAGAAAAGTTGAAACTGGGGTTACAGGATTCCACTCTTGCTTTATTAGAAGCCTACTTACATTAGGGACTGATTTGGGAATTAAGACGTAGTAGCTAGTTGCTAAAAAACAGTTTCTCCCTCCTTCCCAATACACCTACACTAACCACAATTCTGAAATACTATTTAAGAAATAGAATAACATAAGAAATCCTCAGCATCCCATCTGAGTCATGGAATGCAGCCTGGGGCTACTCTCAGGGAAGGCAAGTAAAACCACAAGATTTGTTATGTATTTAGGTGAAACAGGGGCTTCAGAGGCCACTAAAAAAAAATCAAGTTAGCAACAGGGCTTCGTGGTGGGGGTTTTTTTGAGCTAAATAGGTCTAATTTGTATGAGAACTCTAAAAATAATGAGTTAGGAAACAAATTAACCAAAAGTAGAAGGCAAATTTCCTGAAAAGAAATAGCCAGAAAACTAGTCCTTACATGTCTGGTTCTTGTTTCCATAACACTGATTCATTTGCTGGCACATTCTAATATAACAGACTCTGCAGCAGCATCAACACAGGTTCTCTTGCACTATAAAAATGGAACTCCTAACAAAACAGCTAAAATAAATAATACTAAACACTAAATAACAAATTAGTCTGAGACGACATTCCACAATAAATAGGATTTAAATGTCAGGTTCTAAACAATCCATAGTATTTGCAAAGTATGGTCATATTATCCATTCTTGCCCTATGCATACTTAAAACTAAAAAAAAAAAAAATCAAGTTATGTCATTTTCCATGAAAAAAAAAAGCTGCAGTTACACAATACACACCCAAGATCCTGTTTAAACTGTAGCTGAAGCTGTGTAAAGCAACAAGTCAACAGAAGTGATGACAGCATGACATCACCAAGGAAGGTGAGAAGTGAATTCTTCCTAAGAATTATGTCATGACTGTAGCATTTATTTATCATTAGACCAGATTTCACACTTTTCAAAATGCTAACATAACCCTAAAGAGGGAGAAATCCCTGTACAGAACACTGAGGGAAAACAATGCCAAGGTAACACAAATCTGAACAGAACAAACAGGGTTTGACTTTGAATATGTTCAGGCTGGGCAGGGGCATAGTTTGAACTCCGGGCACAATCCCTAACAGGCTATGCTTCTGTGAAACTATAAAAAAACCTCTGAGAAAATCCACTGTCTGGGTAAACCCTCTCTGGTCAAACCCTCTCTGGTCTTACTTAAATAACTAAAGTATCAAGGACCATGACTTGCTGATGGTGAGGATCTCTCATCATACCATAATACCGCAATACTTAAAAAGTCATATTTATGTGAAAATAAATGTGTTTCAGTTTTTACGTTTTATTCATTAGTGACACTTTCTCCACCTGCTGAAAGATTCCCAATAGAAGTCAATAGGTAACATTTGTAAATCGCTTGTTTTCACTTACAGGAATTTATGCAGACCTCTAGAGAAAAAACCCATCAGCGGAAATCAGCATGTAAAAGGGATGCTTGGAAAACAGTACTTTGTTTCAGAAAGATTTTACTGACACAATTCCTGATTAGGAAAGGGGCAATGCAGAGTCTAATCAAGTTAAAAAACCTACTTGTACTAGAAAACTTCATCAAAGTGAATATATAGCAACAGGTAAACAGTGGTTTTATTAAAAGTCAAGACAGAGAAAGTGTTAAAGAACTTGGAGGTTGAGCATCTTGGTTGTTAAAAAAAATAATCCTCAAGAGACAAACTCCAGGCCTGGGAAAAAATAAAGAAACCAAGATCAACTTTTGAGAGGCATTCTA